ACTACCCCCGACTCACACACATTTTGCGGGCAACTGACAGCGACTAAATCAATAAGTGACTTAGAGTTTTTAGTAATCCTTGTGGGCTGGTCGATTAGCTGCTTGATATTTAAACTCCTGAATAGCGATTTAAGTTGTTTACAATCAGAGTCATTTCGGTGACTAGACATAAAACAACAATTGAAGTCACCAAAAAGGAGCATCTCTTTGCCCTCAGCTGAAGCAGTATCTAAGATACCATTCAGCTTTAACATAAAGTCCTTATCGTAATACCGCGAGGTACGATCGGGTCTGTAAAAATTTCCAACAAGAAAGCTGCGTGATTTAGGAACAGCAATTTCCAGCCACATTCCTTCTACGGTGTCCAATTCAAGATCATCCCTTCGCGTAGCCACTAACTCGTCATGAACAAAAACCGCAACGCCGCCATGATTTCCCTTTCTGTCCTTCCGAAAAAGTTTATAACCCGGTATTTCATATTCACTGTCACTCCTGTCGGCCTTGATCCAGGTCTCAGACAGAGTAATTATTTGTATGCCTGACTGGAGTTCTTGTAACAGTAGGCGAAGCTGATCAATTTTATCGCCAAGGCTTTGTATGTTTTGGTGAATAAACTTGAGTCCACGGAGTTTAACAACGTCATCCAGACCATTAACAGGCCCAGGGTTAAGACTAACATCACCAGACAGTAGAACCAAATAACCTGCACACAAAGAAAGCTTGACGAGTTTAAGTCCGGCTCTTGCCTTCCAAAATGGCGGAGTTGATGGACTTGTGCTGTAGTGACGACTGGAACAGTGGTTTCGAGATAAAACGTTGAGCCTGTCACCATTAAACGCAACCAGGAGAGCCGCAGCAGGATTAGATATACGACAAACGCGTAACGTAAAGATGGTAGTTGAGAGCAGAAACAGAATACATAAATAACGAGAGAGTGCAAACGACCAGCGTCCGACCGCCATTTTGAATCTCACAACATTGTACCAGCGACCGAGGTCAAGATTCTCCTATACAGAACAACCTAGCGCGGTTAATAAGATGTTTATCAAATGGCTGTGTCTTACATGCCAATTTTTTATATTCTTTGTACCTTCTCTTTCTAGACTGGTCTAGATGGGAAAATCTTGACCGCTTTCAATCTTGATTTCAGCCAATCAAATTTGTGAATTTGGTAGTTCCCAGTCCTTGTGAGACACAGCCATATAATAAAGAGACCATAACAATCAAAATCCATATCAATTTTCCTGCCAAAATGCCTCCAAAGCGATGACCTTTGGAGTACACCCTTTTGAGTTTATAGAAAGGAATAGCCACTCTTTACCCCACCCCCTATTCTTCTCCTTTTTGAGATTCCCACAGATAAAATTTTTATTCTGGAAAGCCAAAAACAAACCTTCTCTTCACAAATGATAATTTCATTAATTCAGAGCTTACTCAACACCTTCCATTTCTCTAAAAGTTCCCTTTATGTTGGAGCATAGTTTGCGTGATCTTGCGGATGGTGATTAACATACTTCTGGTGCTGAGTACAACTGAAGCCAATCTCTCCTGTGCGCCTTTTAGTTTGGTGAACGCACTTGTTACGCGCGGCAGCGAAGGATTTTCCAATAGCATCCAGGTAAATTGTAGGTTTAAATATTCAAGCGCGGCGCTTGAATATTCGAATGCTGCTTCTTTAAGAATCTCACAAACTCACTCTGTTTGATTGAATAGGAACCGCGCTTATCTTCCATCGATCTTACCTATCGTGTGTTGCTACACCGTCTGTGTCATAGCGGTTGTCCTTCTCGTATTTGATCACCATACATGAATGGTTTGCTACCTGGTACCGCTTGATTCGTCTGAGTAACTCAGTTCTAAAAGATAAATCGGTCATGGCATAAACACGTGCAAAAATAGAACGACTACACATAACCTTGAAAAACCTCTAAGGCATTTGTCAGTGAAAGCGGTGGGTACGGCTGTATATACATACGTTTTACCCGAAAACATCGGCCCAAAGATGACCTGCAAGAAGAAGACCAAAAGACAAAAAGTGAGCTATGATGACCTTGTAAACTTCAGTAGAAACAAATTGCAGAATTAAATCGCCATCTTGGACCTTACATCACCTGAATTTGACCTCTCAAATCCACAACACTGTGAACGTCCATGCCTGGAATTGTCACCATGGACATCTTTGAAGTTTTTGTTAGTTGTGTTCGGCACAGTACTGTTGATGAACTTCTTGTTGATGAGAGCAACGCGCCAAAAGTTTTACAAAATTCGCGCCCAAACATCTTTCCAACGACCTACTGTCTCAGTCCTCCCGAATCACGCTCTCTGAGAGGGACTGGTTAGCAGTTTATGTGGTTGCTAAGCAGTGCAAGCAACTGACAAGAAAAAAAATATGGCGGACGAAGAGCAGATCAACGTTGTGAGTATATTTATTTCGAATTTAAGTTTTGATTTTAAGTATAAGCACAATCAATTTTTGGCTTATAATAAAATTTGTGTGATTCCATCCAAAACAAAAAACAAAAAAAACTGCTGTTTTGAGCGCTTTAAAAATGAAAATCCTTTCCTCTTCTCTCTTTTTTGTGTACAGATTCGCTTCTCCGAATATAGACAAGTGTGACCTTTCTTGGCTCTGAAAGTCATTTATTTGCGTATATCTTTTATTTCGTTAGTAAGTTTGAAGCTGGGTGAAAATAAGCTAGCTAAGATGCCGCAGCTGTAGTGACAACTTTTGAGATTTTAAATTAAAAATGTTGTGAGTCATTATATATATAATGTTGACATTTTTTAATTACGATATGACTATTGTTTCTTAAATGTTATATGTGTGCAGCTAATATAAATAAAGTACAAAAATTTAATTAAGTTTGGTGTTTGCTTATAATTAACTAGTGACAATGCTGTCTTGTGTACAAGAATTGGCCATTAGGCCAATTTTTATGTTCCATCTTCTTTTACCTTATACATGTAAGTTGTATGAGGGCTAATGAGCTACAGATGGGTCAGTAAAGTTATCTCGCCTCAAACATTTTAGTCATTTACTTTTGGTAATTAACTTGACAAGTCGCTGATTATTGTTAAAAACTGATTGATAATTCTTTTGCTGGTGTCTTGCTTAATGGCTTCTCTTGTTTTCATATAGGAAAATGCGCCAGCAACGGATATTCCCAGTTCTGAGGGAGAAGTTACAGAAACCAAAGATGCAAATAATGACTCAGAGAACCCTACCTCAGACAATACTCCAGCTGAAGCATCATCTTCACAAGTACCTGATGAGTTGCCACAGGAGGGAGATAGTGCAAAGGAGACTTCAGCCGATGCTGGAGCAGCAGATGAGACAAACAAGGAGCAAGAGGAAGTTGAAGGCAAAGGAAAAGAAGATGCAATAGGAAATCCAAATCAACTAGAGGAAAGACTGGATCATATTGAGCTTGAGGTAAGTGCTTGTGTGTTAAGGTGACACTGAGAGAAAGCATTTCCTCTTTGTCTGAAATGTATAAGTTCCAACTGAAGATGTTTTCCTTAAAGTTAAACCCATCCATGGCCATTCTATGTATTTTTTAAATGATTAGAATTTTATGGCACTTTTTGTGTCGCTCATAGCTAATAATTTGGCAAAAGGAGGGGTGTAGCTGTGGGGGTCCTTAAAGATTTCTCACAACTGACCCCTTTGTTTTCTTTGTTATTGCTAGAAGGTAGAAGAGGAACAGGATGAAAATGCTCCTTTACCAGAGGTAAGTTAAATATTATCCCACTCAATTTGTTCTTTTTTCTGACTTTATCCAACTTTGTTCTAACTTATCTAACCACCGAACTAAATTTGTTTTTCAGAATGAAGGCATCCCTGAGACTGATAATGATCCCACCATGGAGGTAGCCCAGCCACTGTCCAGAGAGGGGACACCCACTGGACAAAGGACAATCATGGAGGAGGAGGGTAAGGAAGAGCCTGATGCTTCAGCAACTCCTCCTCCTCTAGTGCTGCAGTCTCCAGAACCAACAACTGGCATGGAACAGATGGATACATATATTGAATCAGGTGATCACTGATCACAGTACTTATGAACATGAGGTTTTTATATTTGTGCTACTGGCTTTACATACATATATTGAATCAGGTGATCATCACTGATCGCAGTACTTATGAACATGAGGTTTTCATATTTGTGCAACTGGCTTTACATACATATCTTGAATCAGGTGATCACTGATCGCAGTACTTATGAACATGAGGTTTTCATATTTGTGCAACCGGCTTTACATACATATCTTGAATCAGGTGATCACTGATTCCAGTACTTATGAACACAAGGTTTCCATATTTGTGCTACCAGCTTTAAGCTCATAAATTGAATGGCTGGTTCCCAGATCAGTGCAGGAGACATGACTCGGCTTTATTCTTGTCAAACAAAACTTTGTGTACTAGTAATGTTTGTGGGTAATCTAGTGAATTGTTTAATTAAGCTTGTTTGGTCAGGTAGCAGAAAATTTGGTTTCTTCTTTTATGGGATGTTATTAACCTCGACTTTGTCTCATTCCGTTAAAAAATACAGATAAAAATGGTTAATATTGAGCCATCTTGGCCTTACAGTTGGTAAATAATGTACACTTTTGTATTTTTATATCAGATGTCATGCAATATGATGAGATGGAGTATGATGACGAGTCTGAACCAGAGATTCCCATCTACAACAGAGCAGAACTTATTGAACGCTACCAGGTAATATACTGCTGTGCTTAGACTTTCTTTACATGTTTGCTTATTCTGTATTTTTTACACACTACCTGAGGTGATGTACATGGAAAATGGAGTTCTGAAAACTCTGTATAAAATAATTTTTTCTCTGTTGCTATATTTTTGCAGCAAGCATTGGAGGAAAGATCTTCTCTGCAAGCACTGAATGGCCAGCTTCAACACAAGCTGGCTGAATATTTCAAAAAGAAAAAGGTATTTTATGAGACATGTGGTACTTTGAATCAACAACTTGATATTTAGTTATGGAAATAATAAGAATATTTTGTTCCTTTATTTTCCAGATGAAATTGTATCCTTCATGAAATTATTTTGAACTTTTTCTTTTTTGTTGATTTTCAGAGTGATGAGCGACAGCAGGAGATAGAAAAGAATGTGACAGATCAGGAACAAAGATATCTCAAGTATATGTGTGAGTTAGAGCCACAAAATGCTGTAATTTTGAATTTGATTAATTTATTTGTTGCTGGATGTATTCAGATTGTAAAACTTAAACCACTTTGAAATCCAGCATGTTATAAACATTATACTTTAAAAATGACTCAGTCCTTAATTAAAATTTGATCAGTGGTCCTATGTTTGATGTAAAACTTATAATTTCATCACTCATCTTAGAAGAGTCCTGCTTAATTCATTTGCATGATCTGCATTGCAGTGTTCACGGTCATTTTATTTCTTTTTTTCTCAGCAAATCTTGAAGAACTTCAAAATGAGGAGAGTCGAGAAACAAAAAACTATGAGGATCAGATTGAAGATTTAAAAGAGAAATGCCACGAGAAGCAAGAAGTAGTGAACCAAGCCAGGTATGTTAAAGGCAAACTTCTCTGAAGTAGACATCACTTCTTCTGTACTTTATGTTCCAGTTCCAATGCAGGCTTTGAGGGCAAAGTGTTGTCAGCCTCAGTTCACCAATGGATTCTATGGGGATACACTTGGGTGGTTCAAATATAGGAAGAACAATATTTGATAAAATTTATCTTAAACTGATTTCTCTTTCAGTGACGACTTCATGATGTTTAAGAATGATGTCGCAAAACAAGCCATCAACAGTCGATCTGGAAAACCAATTCCTCCCAAGGTAAGGAAATGATAATTTATTACAATTTTAATGGCATAATGGTATATTTACAGGAACGAAAGAAAAAGAAAAAAATTGCCATAAGGTTAATTTGTAAAAGAGTTGCGTGACCCCATATAAAAAAAATCACCTCATAAAAAAAAAAGTGTCTGAAACAAGGTAAAAACTAGGAGCATAGGTCATTGTTCTCAGGGTATATCTGTTGTAGTGATAAATCATGCTATCTTGGGATTTACACTAAATTAGATACTGCCACTGTGACATTAACTTAGCTCGCTAAAGAGAGCGGGGCATGAGGTGAAAAAAAGGCATTGGAAAAGTTGCAAAGAAGTTTTGATGTTAACTAAAATTAATTATGTGAGAGTAGAGAACTATTTGGTAGAGGTGCGGTGGCCTTGTTGTTAGTGCGCTCGACTCCGGATCGAGTGGTCCGGGTTCGAGCCCTGGCTGGGACATTGTGTTGTGTTGTTAGGCAAGACATTTTACTCTCACAGTGCCTCTCTTCACCCAGGTGTATAAATGGGTACCGGCAATTTAATGCTGGGGGTAACCCTGTGATAGACTAGCATCCCATCATGGGGGAGTAGAAATACTCCTAGTCACTTCATGCTACAGAAACCGGAGTTAAGCACCGGCCTAATGGGCCACTAGGCTCG